ACAGGTATAAGGGAACATTATACTAGTTGCTCTCCAGACCGTGATACAGACTGGTCAGTTTTGTCACCGAAAGATGAAATACTGACGACCCTCCATTCGTCAGGAGTTCAAACGAAGTACTAGGGTTGTTAGAAAACCCTCACGCAACATCTAAAGTGAATGAATTTGAAATTACGGTTACAGAGGGTATTATTCTGGATGGCTCCGACCTTTGAGTAATAAAAACGATGATTTCCCCACCTGAGTGCCTTACCTGTTTTCCATTTTTCAGATTCCATTTTATCCACCCATCAGTATGTCTGGAAATCAACTGTTCGCACCACTAGAACAGATGGCAGCGGCAGCAGCTATTGCCTGGCAAGCTAGTCTAGCCGAGTGTCGTCGAGAGGTTGAATCTCATTGGACCGATCCAAGCGCGGCTAAACTGGAAACCAGTGTACCGGAATCAAGAGGGAACATGTTTTGGAACTGTGGTACATCACCCTTTCCAACTCAAAGATTACCTGCCTTGCTTGATCCACAGTACAGCCAGTCACTCAATGGATCATCTTCGACCGAAGACTCTTCGGCAGGACTGAACGAAACTGAGCTGGTCCTGTCGACTTCGACAATCTCACCCATCATACACAACACTGAACTACACAGCTCCAGTATGTATGCTATCAAACCGGAGTATTTCTTTATCTCGAACCCGAACTCAGTGACACCAACAGACACAATAGGATAAGCGCCACGCTACCGATCCTTTTTTCAGCTTCAGTAGTTACCGTGTACTGCGCCCTCATCAAACTGTACATGCCTTCAGAATTGACGTTATTTATTGATTCCTTCTAAAGTGGTTCCTCATATCAGGATTGAACCAGATTTACCGTTAGTTTGTGCTCATCATCGGGGATGGATGCATAATAGCAAAAAGCAACAAAAAAGAAGTAACAGTTTGAGAAAGTGACAAAGTGAGGTGAAACCATCTTGACTAACTGCCTCTCTGAATGTGTTGGTCGATTTCGGCGTTACCAAATAGACCGGAAAGCAAAAACAAGGAGGCAGCACGTAGCTTGAAAGAAAAGTAGTTGATAAAGTAATGGCAGCACTTGTGTTACTTTGAGCTAAGCTTGCAACCCGGTTACCAGTATCCAACCAAGAATACGGAACAGACATGACGGTAACAAACGACAGAATGTGTCAAGTTCATAACTTTGGTTTTGAAAACGTCCGCCATAATACGGGAACCATGATTCACGCCTTTGGAAGAAGTTTTCTATCAAACATTTGATTTTCTCAGACGACTGGACAACCAGTGGGTCACAGAAGTAGCGATAGTTCGACGGACTGCCGGCTGGAGCCCTCTGTCTACGCAACACTAAGCTGCGCACCAGCTCAATTGTTGAAACATCTATTAATTCGCTATGCTCTTCAGTGTTGCGTCGAATGAAACGATGACACGTTTGGGAGTTCATTTGTTGAATTGCTCGTCATCCTGAACTAGTGGGTGAGACCTGGGAGGGAGCACTCACTTCTATCTCTGTAAGAGATAGGATAGAAGGCAAGTGAGAACACCAGATAACCGAACAGCAGCGTCTGCGTTGTGGATCCATCTAAAAACAAAGTTCTTTACAAGAGGTCACATGAGCGAAATGGCAGTGCTGACGACTGCCGACTCATGGGGGGAGGGGAAACGCGTTCGAAGTGGTAGTAGCTTCTTTTGGTACGCAGTCACACAGGTAGTCAAGCTGCGTGTAAGGATAAAGAGGGACTGAAACAAGCATGAAATTTATGCTCAATTTGGCTGTAAGGGTTTCGTCGCGGCGAACATTTGTCATTGCTTGAGAAACCAATCAGATAAATTCGCACTTATTCTTCCAAAATCATGTGCGCTATCTCAAAACATAGAGTGTGATTGTCTATAAAGTTGCTTATTTGACGAAAGACTAAGTAATCTACGAATGTTTCTAATGGGGCGAGATGGACCAAGTGGTTAGAGCGCGAATTTACTGAGCGGAAGGTCCGTGGTACCAACTCGACTTCCTTTGTCTAGGCTTGGGCAACCTGACGGTATCCCAGCCCTTGTGCTTCCTTCGGGTGGTGTGGCAGCTAAGCACCAAAAGGGTGCTACAGCTGAACGATTATTATTACGTTCCTAGCGGTGTCCATAATCCGACGAGTAGTATCCTACTAAAAACTGCAGCTCCCACAAGCTATTTATGAGTGCTAATTTGTCTTGTGATGGGTAACACCCGTTGTTTTGAGTTTACCGAGGGATGTAGTACATATGACCCTACTCAACTGCTTACTTTTTATTGAGGAGAACAGAGTAGCCAGCTTCAAAGGAATTTCACCTAGGGTATGTGACCAGTTCTCAAAATTTCATCTGGATAGTCGCACGTGGAACCACGTTCGTGTGGCCGATCTAATACACCGCTTTGAAACACTGTTACACTTATACATTGCCATAAAGTGAACTAGTAAACTGAGTGCGTAGCACGACTTCAGGCTTCTTAGAATCCCCAGGAATATGCAGGGACAACTTTGAGTCCTATGACTTAAGTTTCTACAAACCAAATGCGACCGCATATACCTGTAAGCCCCATAAGACCGACGGTCGCGAACAAAGCCTGCCCTTTTTGAATGATCGTTTTGTCCAGTACATCATACACGTGGAACTAGAGGCTGGGTACACTCACGAACACAGGTGTGTATGGAGGAAGAAATACACGCACTGCTGAGTAGGTCACTCAGGTTGCATAACAGTCAAACTAGCGGGTGAAAACACAAGAGTTTTTAGGTTACCGCAAGTTAATTTTGAACATACGTACGTAGTCGGACTCAGATAGCCTGCGCAGGCTATCGTAATCCAGGCCATCGCGTTCGGAAAAAAAACTCGTGACGAAAGTGTCGGAACACACTTTTGTAAATAAAGTTACTGCTGACGGGAAACTCAACTGAATGTGATGCACAAAGACCAGGATAAATTTTCAGTTGGCATGATAGTGGATATACCGAAGTATGTCTTCTTGGCGAAACCCACCACCACCCAACTGAACAGTTACAGACTATTGGACAGGGAAGCAAAACTCTTATATGCATCTTGTTTACAAAAACAGAACATCCATCTTCTCCTTGAACGCGTCTTCCTGAACTTTCCTGGATATTTATTGACTGTTGCTCAAATCTAAGCAAATGCGACTCCACAAGTTCCGTGCCTTTCCCATCAGTAGTATCACCGTTACACTTATAGTGATACTGAAAACTATTCGAAGGCCCACTACCAACTTGGCTCTTCCTGCGCGGCACAAGCTTCATTCTTCCAAACTATAAGGATCTGTCGATAAAAACTAGGAACCATACTTAGTATGAGATGTCAATAACCGAGCTCCTCGCTCGAATGTCAAACGTGCATCTTAGCAGTCACCCTCGCGATGGATGCAGGACGGCTTATTAGCCCGAACATCCAATGGAGTGATCCCCTTTGGAAGAGTATCAGGTGGGCTTGTGTGGACAAGTCTTTTGGAGCAGCAGTGGAAAGTAGAAGACTATACGGAGTGCTTGACGAACAGAATATGTTCACGTGGTGTTCAGCACGTTTTCAAGCTGTATGTATAAATTCACAGGAATAAAGTATCGATAGACAGTTTTTCAGTTATTGAAGATACAAGGGTAAAGTTGTTGACAGGTTTCAGACTGCCGACTAACTACCCTGCGTGCCCCACGACGGGCAAACTGCGTGAAGATAAAGGAAAAACCAGTGTTCCGCAGAAGAAGAGAGCACAAACAACTGAGCGAAAGCACAAACCAAAAGCATTGAGTGGTTTTGGTTTGTTTTACTTGAACTTTTTGTCCTTTTACAATGCTTACAAGGACCGTCAGATTCATCAAGCAGAAGGAACTAAAGGCGGAGAAGCTTGGCTGTTTTTCTGTTATCCATTCTGGGTTCCGTTTCTCAGGAATGAGCGAAAAATCCCTCAATGTATTTTCCTCGTAACAGTCATGATACAAAAGTACGAATCAAAGGATGTGCCTTAAAGGAAGAGCGCTTTCAAGAATAGTACGATTTCGGTCGGTTCAGGGGGTGCGCACTTTTCTGGGAGAGCACTGTACTGGCATCTAGCCCCGATGTAAGGAAGATGAACAGTGTGATGGCGATGAAATCTTGATTGTGAGATAAAACTGGCGACCTCTATTTGAAAACAAGGCTAACAGTCGACTAACCTGACCATAAACCTCACACGATAGGACCAAGGTGGAACAATATTAGAGAACCACGTTTCACGGGGCCAATTATATCAAAACGATAGACTGGTGTGTAAAACGAGGGAAGTCCACTGCACTGAGAGTACCAACAAGCACTTAAACCTATGGGGAGCAAATCGGAAGCATTTCGGAAGTATCGTTTCAGAAGGGCTTGGTAAAGAATCGGTAGTACCTCGGAAGTACCTCACACACTGGGGAATATCGTACTCACGTGTACATGACACGTCGGTCTTACAATTGAAAAAAAGACAGGCACTTCCGTTAATATGGTAAATGATATAAACAAGCCTTCGTATGAACATCATGTAGTGGTTCTAGCCGTTACACTTTCGATCACCGATGTGGGGAAAGCAGTGGGTAGCTAGGCGCTGGAGGCTACAATGGATGGCTTTGAACTACTAATCGCGCAGTCATACAGGCGTTTAAATAAGTGCGGGTGCATCTAACCATTGATGCACTTACATTACGGAGACCGCAGTTGCGAACGCAACGGAACTTGGCCAACGCTTCACTGCAAGAATGGGACGTAACCTTGCCTTGACCAATTCCACCTCGTAAGAGCTCCTTGTAGGAATCGGTCTGCTGGCATTTAAAATATGAGATCATCCAAATCCGAAGGGTGATTATTCTTCCATCGTGAGCGAGTCAGTTCCTCCAAAAGCCCATATATAAGCTTGATAAACACCTTCCCAGCATAATGAATGAGTTCATGTCGATCTTGGAAACAGAAGTAATACTCAGTGAATAACGAACGATTGTTAGATAAATACAAAATCTGCATAAGCTGGATCACAGAAAAGAGGTCTCATCATCCCATTTTAAAGTTTATCGTCACGAACGGTGATTTCTGAGCAGGATCACTGATGAACAACCTTGCGACTACGTTGTATTCATCAGCGGAGCAAGGATTGCATGACCGGCCGAGAGAGAAAGGCTGAGTCGCAAAAAACAAGAATCCACGACTGTTGGATCGTTGCTTGATGATCTGGCTGAAAAAGATTGATCGGTAAAGAGAGCACAGATTAAGTTGTCGACCAACTAAGACATTAAACAGAAAACCGATGATTTCGCTATCAGCTGGGCTTGTGGAGGAAGAGCAGGAATTGACGTTTGATCACCAGCATCCTAGAGGTGTAGAATGACAAATGTTAAGCCTATATTAGGGAACTGCCTTTGTACGGAGTTGTTTGACGCAATGATGACTTCCAACTAATAAGAAACAGAACTGTCAACATCTGGAGGTACCACATGGAGGGATGAACAAAAAACTTGGCCAGAGAACTAACACAAATATGCGAATATCAAGGCATCAACCAAAATTGCAATGCAGGTAATGCTGGGGTCAGTCGACACATGCCGCCTTCCTTGCTAGATTTTTGGGGTATTAGCAACGGTGTGAAGATCATTTGGTGGTATCTTGCTAAAAAGTAAGTCGTGGAATTTCGTTTGGTTCTAACCCTTCACTCGAAAGTAGGGGATGTTTGCACGCCTCAGGTGACATGTCACCCTTCCACTGTCAAGAAGACAAGATCAAACACCTAACCAACAAAGAGTGATCGCAGGTGCTGGATACGTGGAGCAATCAGCGAAAAAAAACTTGCCGGATGGTACCTTCTAGCTCATCAACTTGACCGGGCATGAAAAGGCCTGTTAACTGGATCAATACCGGGTTTTGGTATGGTGTACCCAAGGAGGTCGCTTCACGAATATTCAGAGAAAACAGTGGGGCCAAACGAGGCTCACAAACACAAGGATTGGGTCTGAAAAGCGAACAGAGAAAGAAATGAGCGAGTACCGCGGCGGTTCGAAACTCAAATGCAGCAAGCGATCGAAACATTAAGGAAAAAATATGCTTCATCGTATTCAAAAGTCCTAAGCAGGTTGTGGGCAGTTGGTGGAAAAGTATCCGAAACCAGTTATAAAGAAGTATGTTTTAAAAAAGGAAGTTGGGTTGTGAGCTAGCAAATGAATGGGTTCGTTCAAATAAAAAAGGTGAGATTACTCTGTGTGAATAGGTGATGACAAACAGGGTTGAAACACGAGCAAAACAGTTGTGATAACCCGGCATCACAGACAGGCTAAAACAACGACTCTCTTTGATTCACCATCGGCGTACCAGATTGCTCAATCTTATATATCAAGGAATTCCACGGGTTTGTCTTAACATCAGTAAGATTCAGCTCGTTCTGATTTTGTCGAATCCTTAGCATACCCCATGAGAACCTGTATTCATCCTCAAGTCTTGTGTACAAGCGATGTCGTCACCTAAAATCAACAGCAACCGGTAACAGAAACCCATAAAAACCTAGCACAAGTATCCTACAGCTCGCCTTGAAAACAACCACCAACCTAGCATCTGATTCTCTATTAAAAAACCATCCAGCGGTGCCTAATTGCTATGCCACCAGAAGGTTGCACGAGGGCTGGGACACTGCCAGGTTGCCCAAGCCTAGACAGAGAAAGTCGAGAGGCAGAGGTCGGATTCGAACCATGGACCTTGCGGTCAGTAAATTTGCGCTCTAACCACTTGGACCATCTCGCCCCATTCTCCATTAAATCAAATTGTTTTCAAGAACACGGGAACAGTACCCGGTGTAGATGTTGGTCACACAGTTGCAAAACAGCAGCGTATGAAAAATACCCATTGCAAATGTCCTTTGTGGCTTAGTTCCTGTGGTACGAAGCCCTGTGATGGACTTCCGTGAGTACGGAAGCAGCATTCGGTACACTATTCACTGAAACCAATAAATGACTTATGAATATGATAAGCAAATATAGGATGGCAAACAATAACAAAGGAGGAAGTCAAGCTCGGTGCTGTTTAGTGTAACGTGAGGTCCTTTAATTGATGCTCTATTACTCCACTCCACTTACCTTACATACTTTTCCAGGATCGAATTTAAAAACATTTCACTAAGGGTCGAAGAGCTGTTAGTAAGGGCACACAAAGTTGATTACTGATGCTAGTAGATTCACCAATGCTTCAAGCTTTTGCAGGATTCACTAGTTTTTAAATCCCACTGAATGAGTTGTAGGCAGTCACGGGCGACCGGATTTCAACGACATTGCCGCTACCACTAATTTCACGCTCAAGTGGCAGAGGATGGTACGATTTAGCCTTCAGACTAAAAATAAAATCGCTTGGCTGTAACACCCTTTCGGTACCTAGCTGCCATGCCACCCGAAAGAAGCACGAGGGACGGGATACTGCCAGGTTGTGTAAGCCTAGACAGGGGAAGTCGAGAGGCAGAGGTTGAATTGAAACTACGAACTTTCCGGTCAGTAAATTCGCGCTCTCCCCAACCTTCAGACCGCCGGATCTTTGTCTACCTCCTGATAAGTCAACAGAATGAAGGTTTCGGCACTGTAGTACTGAAGCTTGACAATCTCACCAAGGTGTAATCTATCAGATGAGCATGCAACTGTAAGAGCTAAAACATGGTATTGTCGTTTTCAGTGGTCTAGATTGTTCATATGAACTGGTCAGAGGAAACTCTTCGAGCATTAATCACATGAATACGAAGACCCGATTTCGTCTGGGACATATAGATCAGTCTTCCAGTTCAATTGGCCATAGGGTCTTTGGGTTGTTTGGATGTCACTTGGTAGTTTTATTGCAAAAGTGTTCAACTCTTGTACACACAATGCTTATTTAGTACTTACTGAACGGCGACACTCTGACTGGGTGGTGGCACGATGCCAGTAGCCAAACCAGAAAGGATTGTGTAGGCCAACCGCGCACTGTCTGGATTGACGTCCGAGCCTGGTTGATCATCAAAAGGCGAATCGAACAAGTTGGGCAAGTGAACTGGTTCGGACCAGCGCTCGACAGTGAGGGTTGGGCGCAGCTGAAAGTAAACAAAATTAGCCGTAACCAGAGATGACCGATGACTACACGGCTGAATGGGATTCTCGGACAGTAGAATCTTGACTTCCAAAACGAGGTGCTGTTGAACGATATCACCCAAAGGTAAGTCAGGCACCGTCCGGATCAAAAAATCAACTCCCTTAGCTAATACAATCTACCGCTAACTGCCTAGCAGAAACAGGTTTTGGGGTATGGACTTTAGCTTAAGAAAAAGGGGCTTAGGCATTCAGTCCAGTGATTTAGGTAATTGCTGGTCGAGTGAGCAGTTTGTTGCCGCACATTAGATCCAAGCTCTACGGGAAAATTTGACTTCAAACTTTCGTAGGACAATTCGCAACCAGGGCCTACAGCTCCGCTACATTCTTGACACAGAAAGTCACATCCTTATAATTTAACCCAGCCAACAACAGTTAGTCAGTGAGTAGATTGACCAAGAAAAACCCGCGTCCACCGAGTGGGTCATTATACTGATGACCATTGCTGTCCACACTCAGCTCTATGACACCATTGGTAAACATCAACAAAGCAGGTTGACTGACTCACTGAGTTTCAGGCAGAGGGTCCATACTTGAGATTAGTCAATGCTACTGCCACCCGATCGATAAACTCACAAACTGTCAAAACATTTGGTTTAGCCTAGATTTCTTCAAACAGGACGCTAAACTTTGTTGCGCTCCAATATCGTCCTGTCGTCTAAGCGATTCGTAAACTTGTGACTATTCTGTTTGTGGCAGTTGGAAATGTCCGACGGAAGAGAACTCTCGCTATCCAGTACTAGAAAATATATATGGAAATAATATTTGGATTTACAAACACAGAACACGTTGTGAAATCTAAATTGCAGTAGGATCACGGTAGTCCATGCTTGCTACATACAACAAGTTCGCTCTTGTAACGAAAGTAGTTCTACTCAGGGATGTGGCTTTGGAATTTTGGGCGGAAATTCCCCACTACTTATGTTGAGTTAAGCGACATTTCGGGGTTAGACGCACCTGTCGGCGAAGCACGCACTATGCCGTGGGGAAGATTTTCAGCAGATGGGCAATACTCATGTGAGTTGCAAAACGAAGTATTGGTCAGAAGAACTCGGGTGTCATTTCCCTTACATCGCATTGAATCGCACAAAACGAAGTGTATTGCGGAGGGCCATTGCCTCCGAAAAGTAGTATTCCGCGCGGCATGAAAACCGCTTACAAGTGGAAGACAGAAAAGCATGAATTGCTACAGAGGCAACCCGTACACAGAACAGACTTTGATAAAAAGATATCAATTAACGAGATCATTCTCCCCATGGGTAGTTCGATAAAATCTAAAGCACGTGAATGGAAGTAACGCAAATAATTACTGTCTTCTATTAATTTCAATCAGCAACCGGTTATGGAAACCCGATTCGCACGGGTACGTCGGTATAAATGAAAGGAAGACTGTACGAATGACGACTTCCATCAGTCTAGGTTAAGAAGCACAGACCAAGATAGAAATGTGCAATTTCTGCAATAAAGAACCCAAGTACCTCAAGAAAACAGATAGGAGACAAACGTAGCTAATCAAAAGGCGGTGGGAATGATGACTTCCAGATCCATTGTGTCACATGTATGCGATTCACAGCCCACAGTGTTGTTGATGTTGGGATAAATCTAGGGTGCTTAGTTTTGACGGCGGCTGGTGGGACATTTGTTGCTGCACTGCGGGATTCAGGAGTGATCACAGGATCACTACGGAGTTTCCTCTCTAGTATTTTCAATCCACTAGAATAATCTTAACCAACAAGTGCACATGACGAATAGCCAATGGGACAGGACCTGATCCCATATATACAGTAACACAATCTCCATACAAAAGGAGAAATAGGGGCGAATCATTGATTTAGTGAATAACATGGGCTTATCCACACAGTACTTAACGGCCTTGACACCATATGGATTGAGCTTGAACAACGGTACAAACAAAAGTAAAATAATAATGAACGAAGTACTGGCGCAAAGACCATGGGTTTGACAAAGTAACCAACATTGCGGTAAGACCAAGGTCTGTTGCATAACGAGGCGATACGACAACCTGAAAGCTTTTAAACTTTCACTTCATGTCAAGACAGACTTGGATATGTGACAGTATGCGATGGCTTCATTCAACTAGCTGTAGGTCGTTCGCCGGGCCTCCTTTGTTTAGCATCCGGTCGTTGGTTATGGTAGCGTCAGGTATTTTCCGCATAACGCAACGCGATGATGAACGGGAAATCGCTGCAAATGTGTGTCCTGAGCGTGTGTACGCGTTCGGCCCTTATATACATGCAGCGTGCGCAACCATAGGGTGAGAGCAATGTGAACGCAGATATAACTACGGTTATTCTCATATTTAAAGCGCTACCGGTCATTTTCGCAACACAGTTCCGATTTATTCGCCTAGACCTTCACTGACAAGCCAAAAACAGAGCAAAACGCCTGACGTCACACCAACACCTATTCCAACTAAACAAATATCGCTAAGGATAATGAAACAAAAAGGGAAATGAAATTAGCGAAGGTGACTGCCAGTCGACTCAAACAACAGGTAGTCGGAGAAACGTGCAATGTTTGTCGTTTTGTGAACTGGGGATCGCATTCTCTCCTTGAGAACCAGATCTACTGCAAATGCGAAAATCTGTTTACTGCGTGAAAGAACGACTGGTTAAGACGAGGACGTAGTTGACTGTGATTGCTAAGCACACAAGAAACATCACAGCTTTACCAATCGGTAGTGAGTAGTTGAAAAGTTGTCACGTTGGAAACATATGCTGACCAAGTCACCAGGTAATACGTGACTTCTTACCTACACCCTCGTTTACATCATCACCATTCAAAGGCACGACCCTAAGTCCAATCGCAATGACATTTGAAAATCACTGTCAAGTAACAATGGCAGCACAATTGCCAGTGAATAAGGTGTAAACATCGGGTTATATTGATAAGTCCATGAGGTTACGTGGTAACACCCATAGTACTGGCAATACGATCCATTCTATTGAGGAACGTGGATGTGAGCTGATATAATCCATACGGAAGTTATACATATGATTAACAGTTTAGCTGGTGATCGCGTCTCACGATTTTCCCTATTCAAGGAGGCTGGAGCTGCAAGAGCTAGTCTTCTTAATCGATAGTTCTGCTTTTGTGGACCAGTTCTATGGAGTAGAGAGTTTTATCGTGGCGGGTTTATTGTTGGAGGCTCTCTTATGCGAAGGGCGGCAATTGTATTCTACAGTTTAAAGTCTCTCAGTCATTCAGATGCGACAATTTGATGTTGTGCTGGCTGAGAGTATCAAGAGGAAGAAATAGTGGCCTGCTGCTACACGGCTAGTGACTTTGCAAACCACTTTTGAAGTACTCAGTTTAGGGTCAACCGATGGCACGGCTTGCATGGACCAAACGCCAAGCCTATATGAGTCTTTCTTCTGTGAATGGAGTTGGTCGACGGTCTGAGGCTAGCATACATGGCAGTTATGAAACATTAATTTTCATCAACTACTCATGAGTAGCTCGTTTCAACCGGATATATCCACCCCGTTTGCCCCTGTTTTCATGAGCTACCGTCAGCTGCCAGATCGTTTTTTCTCACGCACACATATCGTTTGCCAATGTAATGGATGTGACGATTGTCTGGTGTTTACTCCGCTTTTTTATTCCACGCATTGAATCCATTTAGCCACAGCGGCTGCATCGAATTCTACTCCTTTAGAGTATCTGTAACGTCCTAAAACTACAGCTTATTCGAAATCCGTATTGTGAAAAGGATGAAAGTGGATGGGAAGGGACTTAGTGCCGGCTTACCACAACCATTCCAAGACACTTATTCAGGCAATCTGGATAGAAACCGACAGCAAGAACACCACTGGCATCGAGTAGCAGCCACACTTTGGTATGATCGGCATTGGAAAGCATGAACTCTGAGGTACTGCTATTTACTCTCACTCCTGCCCCATAGCGCTCTTCTTCCATATATCCTAGAGCAACCTTGCACTACGGCGCCGTCAATTTATCCAAAATAACATCATTAACACGAAACAAGCGTAGCAATATGCATCCAAACAGGGATCGACGGATATCGTAATAGACTATACCGTCCGGTCCCCAAATACAAGCAGCATCTTTCGAGTGAATTATTGTTCGATTTTTTCCGCTCATCTACATGTTATATGTTATGGTTACTGTGAGAGTAAACTCTCAAGGAGTAATAAATGAGGGTCCATTTATTCAAACTACTTTCATAAAAATGCAAATTTAATCTGTAGATGAAGTAGTCTACGTACCTTGAAGTACTTGTTTTTGGTCAGGTGTGCTGCCAGCGACTGGGGTAGCGGAGTTGAACGCGACTCTGAATGTGGTGTGGGTTCCACCCTGGGGGACCAGCAAACTAAACAAGGCCTGGGCTTCAATACATCCGGTGGAACACGGATTGAATCAATAGGATCCAGGCTGGCTTTAAGGAACCCTTTCAAACGCTGGTGTAGACGACTGTTACGTCTGAACTTGGGCGTACGGAGATCCAGCCGAAACCCTAAAATAAAAAAAACGTAACGAGTACGCACAGAAGAAGCGACGACGACCGAACTCCAGCCTCACGATTTGAGCGCCACGAATCGATGTTAAGCGCCATGCCTTATAGACCGATATGCACTAAATTTAAAGTCATACACCATACATTAGTTCACGTGTCGGAAGACAGTCTACCAAGTGATGGTCTTTTGCCAAGCGATGTGTGAGTGGAAGAGGTACTGAAGAGAGAAGACAGTTGTTTAGTGATGAAGAACGAAAGTTCAGACCAATAAACCCAGGTAGGTTGACAACGATTGTCTCCCTGAACGAGGAACACCACACAGGATGATAAAATCGTTAATGGGACTAACAGAAACAGTCCAACCGGGCAGTCAACGGTAGTATTGCGTCAAAGTCATCGCCCTAATGTGTAGATGCACAGAACACTTCATGAAGAAATGGAACACACCCATGTCATTGAAATGGTCACCCAAACGTATAACTGATCTTACCCTTCACTTACTGACAGTAGTGAGCTCAGGATGACTCAGTGGTTATGGCGCGAACTTTCTGAATGAAAGGTCCACGTTCGAACCCGATCTCTGCATCTCGATGGCTCCTGTATGGACTTGGGCAACCTGGCAGCATCTTGGCCCTTGTACTTCCCTCGAGTGACATGACAGTTAGGCACCGAAAGGGTGTTACAGCTGAACGATACGACACGTTTTACAGCAGATAAATTGAACTGAATTGATCGAGACATTACAAGTTCGACAGTGGCGAACTGAGACTCGGACCATCCCAGTTTATTTATACACACTTGAAAAAGATTTCTACTGAAGTGTCTGTACAAGAGTGAGACACCAACCGTCCGGATGGTGTGCAAACGATAACTCGGATCGGCGAACAGGCTAGTTAATCACAAATATCACTATAATGAACACATTTATATCACCACTGCCCCCTCGCAAACTTCGTTCCACCAATCTTTCGGAGAAACGTGGACTGAACGCCACACCTCACGACTGGATACAAAGTACTTAGAAAACCCGACCACATCTATCTTTGATGGGCTGATTTGTCCAGCACACTGATCAGTTTGAATAACACCCAGCACAAGGAAACAAGGGACTTGAGTCGGCAACTGAGAATCCTACCACACCAGAGCTAAACGGGCGTTAAATGTCATACTACACAGGGTTTGCGCCAAAAAACGACTTACGGTAGTGTAAGCGCCTTGGCTTCTCCTTGATTTTAGAACAGGCCAATCCGAAGCCAGCATACACCGTTGGGGACATTTTGAAGGTGAGCGTGGCTTGAAAGGTATGGAATGAGGAAACATTTGTAATGCTATCAAGATTGAACACGATATTAAAGGATTCCACTGGTACAGAACTACGAGATTATGGTGTTCGCTGAAATCACGAGTCCCGGACACCATAATTGTCCTTAGTAATTTATGGGGATTTCAGTGGGTCACGTGATCGAATTGGCGGGCTATGGTAGGCGTAAAGAGAGGATGACATTAGCACTGAATCAGCCAGGACAGGTTTTGGCCAACACTAAAGAAAAGACATGAACTCACACTTCTCCACGGAAAAATCAAAAGCTGTGGATGCTTCAAGCGGTAAAATGGTGACATCACCTGAAAAATACACGTAAATGGTATGTTATCGTCCAAGCTGATCACAATGCGGGACAGTAAAGTGCCCTAGGGTAGATATTACCAACAGCGAAGCAGTGTTCGTTTAAACCTGGCTGTTGACTGTGATATTTTGATACTGCAACGGACCTCACTGATTTCGTCGAAAATTCGACAGGGGTATCATCTATGGAAAGGAAAGATTAGAAACAATGCTTACACCGATAAACAGAAGAGCAAATCCCACGTCGTTTTTGTAACTTTACACTGTGCACATCTAAAGTATCTCCAATAAACACTATGAGTGTCAGAGAAGAGAAGAGTCACAGAATTGTGTGAGTCCAAATAGCCTTGGCAGAGTACCACTGATGCCAAATCACTAACAGGTTGACGTTTTACGCTCCTGGTAAAGTGATGTGTTCCAGGCACCGAACCATCAGGGAGTTATATTAATTTCTTGGGAGTGTCTTCACAATAAAAACACCCCAAAACAGTTCACCGTAATGGGCAATGGCACCGAAGACACGTTTTGGTTATCGGAACAAGCAAGGCTCTGGGCTGAGCAGAAGCAAACTCAATCAAACTGTTCAGCTATTACACTCTTCGCATGCACGACGGAGCTGATATAACCAGTAAAACATGCAAAACGCCCCACAACATCTAGAGACTCTCAGAATTTCAGCGACCTGTTGAGATGCGAAATGTACAGAAGCAAGACCTTTCATTCACAGATACGAGGTCAAGTTTTGAACGCTCATGTACAGTGAGAAATGTAGTCCTTACTTGACTAGGGTGTTTTGAAAACTCCTAGTATGCCGGGAGCATACTGGCCATATGTGGTTTGTTGACTGATAAGGGGTTGTTTGATGGGGAATATGGCATCACTTAGTAATAATTTTAAAAAGAATATGTTGCTGGCATGCTATGGAAACGGAAAGCAATGGTGATTGGAACTGCTTTGTTTCGTTACGCCGATCTACCAAGGGGTGTGCTGTGAAGAAGTTTAGCATGAGGGAAGTCGGAAATTGTATGGACCACCCCAAAAACCAAGTTTCTCGGAACAGGAGTCGTCCTGTATCGGACGGACTTAACACTCGAACTCAGCATGAGGCGGAAGCTACAAGAAGTGGTTCAAAATACCCTCGATAGAAAGTTCCTACAAGTAGTACAGATGTCCCACGAAGTGCGTGAACCTGTCACGTAGATCCCGTAGAAATAACAGCTTGATTAGTACTCAGAATACGTTACCCAACTGGACCTCCTCCTACAAGCATCAAATGATTTTAGCAAGAACTCGAAATCCTCCACAAAATGACACATAACAAATAGGAAAAGCCCTATTGTCTGAAGCCATCGGGAGGTCAAACAGAACCCACCGAGGAGCGGTTGGGTGGTAGTAGATTTAACGGCTCTTCTGATATTAACATCAGAAGAACATCACTGTAGGGCTACTAAGCGAGTGGGTAGCACGCTGTTACATGTCAAACGGCGGAAAGTGCGTAAGAGAACAGCACAGGAGCACTAAAGAACCATACGGGAGTTGGTGTTCGTAAAGTCAGTCGTGACGGTGATTTACAATATTTTAAAACGCCAGTGTCCCCGTGCTGTGAGCCTTTATAGTGAGCAAGGATAAACTCGCTGATTGAAGGAGCATTATGACTGAATGCACTGAAGTCAGGCGACATAGTGGACAAGCAAATTGATACAGCTGCACTCGGAACAAAATCACAAGGCACATGTGGGTACCTTTGGTACAGAAACCGGCGATGAAGTCATCATCCATTAAGGTAGTCAAATGAAAATCGGATACTATGTCAGCAAGACTGTGATCGGCGAAATTTTGAAACGTGTCCTCAATGCCATCATACGACGTGAGACAAAATACCTAGGAAGGTTTAGATGAGAATAGCAACCGAGTACCTTCGAGATCAAGCGACTCATGGTCTACTGTCCAAAATCGTATAAACCGTTCTTTGACAAGGTCTTGGATCAAGCTGAAAAAATATAAACACAATAAACTTTGATTCACAAAATAAGTCAAAATACTTCAAAGGGCGGATTAGAAGGTCACTGCTATGCGGGAAAATTCGCGACCTAATGCAGAAAAATCAATGAACATGGGCGTGATACGATGTGAATTCCATCTAAGTGATATATTTATTACACACACAAGGGTCGTTACGTCTGATATGGACGTTGAATGACACTTGCTCCTAACAACTCCAATATGAGTTAATCCGTTCAACGCGATACAAAACACCAAGTACATACTAAAAAAGAAAATAAGCCTAGAAATACCGGGCATCTGGAGGACGGGAGCAACCCCACAGCTATTAACGGCGTTGGAGAACTCATCGCTAGCGTGCTGGAACAAAGGACAACTGATACAAGTCCTAGGGCAACAGACGGTTTGAAAGTCATTCAAAATGGGACAGGAGCCTGGTTGGTGGATAAGGTCGACACAGATTGGGTTTGAGAGAAAGGACACGGGATAACAAATAGGAAAAGCCCTATTGTCTGAAGCCATCGGGAGGTCAAACAGAACCCACCGAGGAGCGGTTGGGTGGTAGTAGATTTAACGGCTCTTCTGATATTAACATCAGAAGAACATCACTGTAGGGCTACTAAGCGAGTGGGTAGCACGCTGTTACATGTCAAACGGCGGAAAGTGCGTAAGAGAACAGCACAGGAGCACTAAAGAACCATACGGGAGTTGGTGTTCGTAAAGTCAGTCGTGACGGTGATTTACAATATTTTAAAACGCCAGTGTCCCCGTGCTGTGAGCCTTTATAGTGAGCAAGGATAAACTCGCTGATTGAAGGAGCATTATGACTGAATGCACTGAAGTCAGGCGACATAGTGGACAAGCAAATTGATACAGCTGCACTCGGAACAAAATCACAAGGCACATGTGGGTACCTTTGGTACAGAAACCGGCGATGAAGTCATCATCCATTAAGGTAGTCAAATGAAAATCGGATACTATGTCAGCAAGACTGTGATCGGCGAAATTTTGAAACGTGTCCTCAATGCCATCATACGACGTGAGACAAAATACCTAGGAAGGTTTAGATGAGAATAGCAACCGAGTACCTTCGAGATCAAGCGACTCATGGTCTACTGTCCAAAATCGTATAAACCGTTCTTTGACAAGGTCTTGGATCAAGCTGAAAAAATATAAACACAATAAACTTTGATTCACAAAATAAGTCAAAATACTTCAAAGGGCGGATTAGAAGGTCACTGCTATGCGGGAAAATTCGCGACCTAATGCAGAAAAATCAATGAACATGGGCGTGATACGATGTGAATTCCATCTAAGTGATATATTTATTACACACACAAGGGTCGTTACGTCTGATATGGACGTTGAATGACACTTGCTCCTAACAACTCCAATATGAGTTAATCCGTTCAACGCGATACAAAACACCAAGTACCTACTAAAAAAGAAAATAAGCCTAGAAATACCGGGCATCTGGAGGACGGGAGCAACCCCACAGCTATGAACGGCGTTGGAGAACTCATCGCTAGCGTGCTGGAACAAAGGACAACTGATACAAGTCCTAGGGCAACAGACGGTTTGAAAGTCATTCAAAATGGGACAGGAGCCTGGTTGGTGGATAAGGTCGACACAGATTGGGTTTGAGAGAAAGGACACGGGATGATGTGAACATACTGTAGCACTTGTAAACTGCTCTTTTTCATGCTCAGTATTATCTTTTTTCCCATCATTATCAGTCACGTCGCTGTACAAAAGTTTGTTTTACTGAAATACAACCGCTACCGCCCGCTTGTTGGCTCCAACGTGACTTTGAGACTTGCCGAGTGACTGTTGTTGTGACCGCCGTTAAACTATATTTGACCACTGCTAACGCTAAACGTGAACAAACATTTCAGATGCAAACACCGGCCTAATATATTCACAATTGTGGATTAGCATTTCGATCACCGGAGATCTGGAATGCCAGGAAGACAGAACTATTCTTGGTGTGGTGGTTCAACGGAATGTGGAACTACGGAATCTCCTATTTTGAACTGTGAGTCAAGATTTACTTGGATTTTTCTCCTTGTGACTTTGTATCTGGCTTATATTAGTAATTTGCTCTGTTCACTAGAGACTCCATAGGGCCGTTAACCACTACAATACAAAGGGCAGCCAATCACAAGTAGGGCAGAGGAAGAATAACTAACTCGACGAATGAACCTTCCAGCTGAGAAGCCGTCACTCTAAAAGTCAGTCAACACATGACCATGCTATGCAAATCCTGTAGCTGAGGGATGAGGCACTCTGTTGTCTAATTTCAAACCAATTACACTGCTGATCAGCCTGTTGTGGGAAAGCGGTTGCCTTCAACTACTAGCCGGAGGTTGAGTTCGAATCTCTCCAGAGGCTCGTAAGATGTACGTTGATGATTTCCAACAAGGAGGAAGTAGTTGTACAGTGCTTATGGCCTTCAGCATAGATTGACCATACCCATAGGATGAAAGACTAATTTATTGTTACGCCTTCCAATGCTTTACGTTTACCAGTATTTTGGACAAACAGCAGTGATCTGAATACAGGAATGTATGTTACTGAAGATTGTGGGTCTGTGGTCCCTATGAATTCGCATATCAGCGCCATCAGCACAAAAAGGGGACGAGATGACTCAGTGGTTACAGCAATAACCTGTCTTCTGCCTCTCGACCCACCCTGTCTAGGATTGGGCAACCTGACAGTATCTCAGCCCTCGTGCTTCCTTCGAGTAGCATTGCAGTTAGGCAACGAAAAGATACCAAAAGTGAACGATTTTGTCGTCATCGTGTTGATCGGGTTCTTGGAGATTATATAGAGACCGGTCTTTGCGCAGATGCACTGAGGGATTAGGTCTTTTGAACCAAAACATGTGAAGTGGGTCGACGACTCTGTCAAAACTTGGCAGAGTACAAGCTCAACCGTCGGACTAGTATGACACGCACAGTAGTCACTACGGCCAACCCAGTTAAAGAAGACTGACTTCAATGGGAGCTGCATGGGCAGGGAGATACCATTCTTTTATTGAGCGGCCCAAGTTTTTGGAAAGATGTTTTAGCAGCCAGCAAAATGCAAGGCCCGACAACAAACTATGGCATAATGGCCCCTCCAATGATCTACCGAAGAACAATCCACATGCACATCACTCTCATTTGAACAGCCCTCTTCCTGTCCTGGCGCAATTATTTCAGTGGATACCACCAAGGAGGGAAGATTGGATTCCAGTTTCACTCCCAGTAGAGCCCACCACCAATGCATATCCTTGGCGTGCCAGGATTTGAACTCCGGGCATTAGACACGCGAAGCAAGCATATCATCATCATCAAAGACAGCAACAGTGTTGGCACTGATACTTCACTGCCGTACAACCATAAGGTTTGTCTAGTTATATACTTGCCATAGGCCAGTACTAGGTCCCCCCCCTCACCCACTCTTTTTCTCTCCTCTTCACTGTAGGGCTTTTAATACAATTATACAATTATATAATTATACAATTATTATTATAATTATATAAAAGCCCTCCAGTGAAGAGGAGAGGAAAAGAGGGGG